ACCCCCCCCCCCCCCCCCCCCCCCCAAGCCCCATATTTTTATTCCTGGGAAGGAGGAAAGTGGATTAACACTCTACAATTCACACCAATGGATTTCTGGGGGTTGATTGTTTGAGGACACTTTTCCTGAAAGCCCCTAATCCTGTTGTCTTTGTGTGTCTTAATCTCCCTAGTTGCATTGTCTGCTATTCCGGGCTCTACATGGGAGCCGGGACAAGTGGGCTGTTTACCAGACAAGGGAAAAAAAAAAAAAGAAAAAAAAAAAAACAAAACTCAAGCCCAGAATTGGTTGAGGCCTCCAAAACAGCACTTGTGTTTGCTCCTGAAGCCCCATACCGAGACTTTTCAACAACTACGTAATAAAAAATATATACATCCCATTTGCATCTTTTGCTCCCAGAGGCCCCTGACTTTACCTGTGTCCTTACCTGCCCTCAGGCACCATGGCAGTGGTTGGGCCAGGGAGAAAGAAAGAGGAAGCATTAAGAGGAGAGAGACCTCTTAGCCCCAGGGATTCCCAATAGCACCAGCATGCAAATCATTTTCCTTCTCTAGCAACAGACTGCTTAGGAATACAAATAGGGTTTCCAGGGGAATTAATTTTGTTCCTGGTGCTGAAGTGAGAAGCCAACTGTCCATCTGACCCACTTGCCTTTATGCCTGACCTGTCCATTCCTTCCACCTGGCAAACTGATTTCAGCCACTTTCCGTCTTACGTCTGAACAACCCTTTCTCTCTCTTCCTCACCCCTCTCAAGACCTTTGTTGCTGACATCAGCCTTTTGAGGTCTTGAGATCATGAATATAAAGCTTGAAGAGATCTTAGAGGTCATCTACTCCAACCTGCTCATTTTACAGATAAGGAAACTGAGGCCTGGAGAAAGCTTAAGCAGTTTGCACAAAGTAGCAAGTCATGAAGATAGGATTCAAACTCAACTCCTGTCACCTTAATTGCAAGGCATAATAAATGCCTCTTGAATTGAACTCAATTGCCAGAGGGATGCATTCCCCAATAATTACACTTTCTCTTTTGTGACTCATTTCATTCTCCCCTCCACAGGCCCATGAGATCACCTACATCTCATTTCATGATGTTCCTTTATTAGCCAACATCTTATCCAATTAGAATCAATATAGTGAAATATGACATTCCTGGTACCCTCCAGTCTCTCAGAGGCTCTCAAAGGCCCCCAGAATAAAGGGAGGGTTGGTACTCAGCTGTGCTCCCTGTTCTTGGACCCTTCTCGATTCTCCAGTGACTTTTCCCTGGGGCCCTTAATAATAAACAACGTTTAGAGGGTAGCTGTTTATTCACATCAACTCAGAGCTTTGATTGTTGGTAAATTTCTAATGTTCCTTAAAAACAAAAAAAGAAAAAGAAACTAACAACCTCCAAGCCAGAATTTACACAACAGCTCCAAATAAGCCATCTTTCAGAATTTTATGAATTACATTCATTTCATTCTCTCCCTAAAAAATTTCTGAATTTGTCATGGATGTTGACTTATAGTGGCAATCACTGTACCTCGTGTTAACGTATCTACCATTTCCCTCATCCCCAAATGCCATCCACGGTTTTGTTCAATTTGTCTTCATAAAATTCTTACCAAGTCCCTGGGAGCCTTGGCCTATATCATGCATGGCTGGGGAGAGGGGAGGTCATTAGAGTCAGAGAGCAGAGCAAAATGAACAGGCCACCAAAATGAGGCTAGCGTTCCCATATCTTTGGATGAGCTGAAGAATGCCGCCTCTTGGCAAAGCCATATTTCTGAAGTTTCTATATTTGGAAATGCTTTTATTAGGCAAGGCTCGGACAGTTAGTGGGGAAGGGATGCAGGGAATGAAAGACAAGTTATTTACGATCCATCCTAGGATCAGCATTCCTGAGGGACGAGTAAAGCTGGAGTAGAGAACATGAATCTCATTCCTCCACATTTCAGATATTCAGCCTCCTACGCACAGGAACAAAGAAAGGGATTTAGAGACTGAGGGGGATCCTTGAGGTCCTCTGGTGGAACACCTATTTTTATAGGTAAATAGATTAAGGCTAGGAGAAGCCAAATGATTCATGAATAAATGATTCTTAAATTGATTGAATACTGCTTGGTCCCACATCTGAGAGATACATAGTCATGATGTAGTGGCTAGATAGCTGGCTTCAGAGCCAGCAAGACCTGGGTTTAATTTCCATACTGGTTGTATGACCCTGAGCCAATCATTTAATCTCTTAGTACTCTAGCCAACCCTCTAAGCAGCAGAAAAGGCAAAGGGAGTTAGTTCCCCATATCAATAAAATAACGACTGGTCCCCATTCCTGTTCTACAGAGTAGGTAACAAAAGATAAAAGCTAAGGCTAGTGCCTTCCTTCTGAGATTTTCTCTAATTTATCCTATCTATATCTATATCCATATCTATATCTATATCTATATCTATATCTATATCTATAGCTATCTCTCTCTCTCTCTCTCTCTCTCTCTCTCTATATATATATATATATATATATATTGTTTGTACATAATTGTTCACTTGTTGTCTGCCATATTAGATGTGAGCTTCTTGAAGGCCAGGACTGGTGGTTTTTTTTTTTTCCCCTTTAGTTTTTCTTTGTATCCTGAACACTTAGCACAGTGCCTGGCATATAGTAAGAGCATAATAAATGTTTGTTGACTCAACTGGATTTGACTTGAGATCACAAAGTGGAAGAGTTAAAATTTGAACCCTTGTCCCCTGACTCTATACCCAACTCAAAATTGTCCAAAATCCAAAAACACAGCATCTTCTTCTCCAAACCAGCTCCAGTTCCTTTCAATGGTACCACCATTGTCCCAGTCATTCAGGTTCAAAACCCTAGAGCCATGTTTATATCTTCCCTTTCTCCATACCCATATGATTAATCAGTCACCAGATAGCACTGATTTTACCTTCAAAATGTCCCTCCCGTCCTTTCCCTTAAATGTCCCTCCCGTCCTTTCCCTTTCAATTTCTGTGACTGCCCTAGTATAAGCCTTCATTACCTCTAGCCTAGGTTATATCATCTGTCTTCTTCTTAATTTCCTTTCTCACTTCCCCAATTCCTTCTACATGGCCAAATTCATCTCCCTTCCAAAAACAGAATTCTGACAAAGTCACCCTTGCTGGTTCGTGGATTGTTCATTTTTATAATATTACTGTCATAGTATAAATTGTTCTCCTGGTCCTGCCCATTTTAATCTTCATCGGTTCAAAGACATCTTTTCATGTCTCTTTGAAGCCATCTTTTTTCTCATTTCTTATAGCTCAATTTCATTATATCCATATACCACGATTTATTCAGCCATTGCCCAATTGATGGCTATGGCCTCATCTTTTCACCCTTCCTTTGCCTGAGCTCCCCAGAAGAAGCTAGCAATATTCATCATCCATCCATCCATCCATCCATCCATCCATCCATCCATCCATCCATCCAT